ATACGTACAGATTAGAGATGCATGTGCTGACATCTCAGTAGCAAAAACAATGAGTCTTTCTGCAAGGAACAATATATTCTAAAATAAAGTGGAGATCTTTTTTAAAGGTTAAAAACTCATTCAATTTTATGTCTTACAGGTCTTATACTGAGTTCAGTATTGTATGACTTTATTCAACAGTGAACCTAAAAATTTTATAGCCACTTTTGAAAGAGAAGTGTCTTTGTTCTGTAAGCTGTTAATGAGTATGTTAAAACTGTAATGAAATCCTTCTTCTAAAAAAAAACAGAGGGAATCATATTAACTGAACAATTATACATATAACTAGCTCAAGGAATATAATACATTTCTAGGCAAGGTTTATCTGAGAATGTTTAGTCTTTGCCCAAGCTTTATCTACGTAGCAAATGATAATCGAAAGTACCAGACTGGTGGAACTAACCTTCTTGGATGTTTAACAGCCATACATTGAGGCCTATACTACTCTGGTCAAAGGTACTTAAAGGACAGTTTTTGCTTCTTGCCCTCCTAGGTCGACTAGTTCCAGGGAACTACGAGCATCCCACAAAATGTCCTGTAACTGTGGTGAGTCACCTGTCCTCTTGATCAAGGAGGCCGTGGAGACCCCACCAGATGGACTTGAACCAGCGTCCAGTCTACAAAGAGGAGCATCAACACAGAGGAAACATTTCCTCCATGCTTCCAAGCAAAGCCATCCATGGTGGAGCAGGACCTTTAACTTATCTTCACATAGAACCGGTGAAAGAAAGGAGCCAGGGTCTCTTCCCAAGCCCATGTGACCCCTGAGGAACAGATCCTCAAATGGCCTTAAGAGTAAAAATAAATTGGTTTATCTGGGCCAACTGTAGGGTCTTAAACCCCCAAAAGGAAAGTATAACCAAAGATTAAAGGGGTCAATATAATTTTTTAAGAGCCCATATGTATAGCTAAAGGCTACATAACAAGAAATAATGCCAGACAGGAGATACCTTTGAGTTGTTGTCCAGGATGGCCCAAGAGACTCCCAGACAGTAACCCAGAATAGAACTGGGAAAATGAACAGCAGACCCCAATCTTATCTAAGGGAATATTGATAACTGATTTATGTTAGATGAGGAACAGCTGATCTTCCTAAAATAAGGCACTCTAGATAGGCTGACTAGACTAAGCGGATGGACAAGCACTGGGGAACGGCTGGGGGCACTGACAACACAGTGGACAGTAACAGGGATGACAGGGATGACAGAGTATATGAGCTCAAGTGGGGGGTGGGGGAGGCCATGGGAGGGTACCATTTGGGACGTGAGTATATAGATGAATAAGATTGTTTGGAATGTTTTGTATGATATACACACAAAAAAACCAACAAATAATAAAAAAAAATGCGTTCAAGGCCAGCCTGGTCTACGTAGTGAGTTCTGGGACAGCTGGGGCTACAAGGAGACCCTGTCTCAAAAAGACCAAAAAAACTTAATTGAGTTAGCTATTGCCTCATTATCCATAGTATTTTTGTACATTTTGACCCTTTTTAATATAGTTATATACATTCTGTTGTTAGTTAATTCTCTTTATTTGTTCTACTTCCATTGCAATTCTTCTCATTTTTGTGTGTATATATCACACAGAACATCCCAAACCATCTCATTTGACTATACACCCATCTCCCAGATGGCACCCTCCCATCACCTCCCTCCCCCCACTAGAGCCCTTTATATTTTAAAATGAAATGGAGGTCTTTTTTAAAGGTTAAAAACTCATTCAGCTGGGCATGTTGGCACATGCCTGTAGTCCCAGCACTCAAGAGGCAGAGGCAGGCGGATCTCTGTGAGTTCAAGGTGGTCTACATAATGAGTTCCAGGACAGCTCGAGCTACAGGGAGACCCTGTCTCAAAAAAGAAAACAACAACAAAAAAAAACCAACTCATTCAATTTAATGTCCTACAGGGTTTATACTGAGTTCAATATTGTATAACTGTATTAATTCAACTGTGACCCTAAAAATTTTGTAGCCTCTTTTGAAAGAGATGTATCTTTGTTCTGGAAATTGTTATTGAGTGTGTTAAAGCTGTAATGAAATGCTTCTTCTAAAAAGAATGAAAAGATGTATGGTAGATAAATACAAGATGTGATCCTCTTACAAAAATGAGCAGAAAAGCTAGAGGGATCTTAACTGGAAGGAAGGAAAAAAGTAATCTTCAAAATTGGGCTGTAGGTCTGTGTTGCAAGCAGGTATTTCATTATTTCCAGTCATTGTCCAATGCGATTCTTTCTTCAACATTTCTCAAGCTTTTCCATTCCATGATGAGGCTCATATAAAATAATGATCATGAGGGAGGCATGGTGGCACACATTTTTAATCCCAGCACTGGGGAGGCAGAGGTAGGCAGATCTCTGAGATCAAGACCAGCTTGGTCTATATAGTGAGTTCTAGGCCAGGGGTGGATATAGGGAGACCCTGTCTCAAAGCATAACAACAACAATAATAATAATTACTAATAATATCTGTCCAGTCAACTGGCTCTATACAGGAGCCTTGGCAACCACTGTGACTTTGGGCAGAAGAGTCCATCTGCTCCAGGCTTTGCCCAGTCTCATGTGAGCTAAGGGGGTCAAATAGAGGCACACTTGCAACCCATCTGGAGTATAACCAGGATCTACCACGTTGGGAACTTTGGCCTCATAGCATACATCTATACCTTACATCCAAACCAAGACTATTCATCAAGTATCTTTTAAAATTTTTTAACATTTATTTGTGTATATATGTATGTGCACACACGCACATGCCTACCACAGTTGTGTTCTGGGGCTGTGAGGCTTGGCAGAGAGACTTTACCAGATAAGCCATCTTGTTAGCCCATAACTTTAAACAACTAGGCCTTGGAGAGCTAAAATGGCTCAAAGGATAGAAGCACTTGCCACAAAAGCCGGATGATGTGAGTCTGGTGAAGAGATTCCATGGTGGAAGGAGAGAACCAGCTCCCAAAAGTTGTCCTCTAACATACACACACACCCCCCACACGGTATGGCACCCCCTCCACACATACTCATATACAGATACATCATACATGCACATACACACACAAATAGTTTTTGTGAGGACCTAAAAGCCCCACCTTGCATAGGTGTGAAAGGAAGTTACTTGGGGCGCAGCCTGGCTTGCTTTGAAAGTCTGAAGAATACTTCCGCATGATCAGCCCATGACCATCCTTAAGATATACCCTGGGGGGGGGGGGGGGGGTTCCGGGTGCCTTTTTAAGCTTTGGAACACTTGCAAAAAAAGAGTCTTTGCCTGACTAAGACTCCCCGTTGTGTCTGAGTGTCCCTGGGTAATGGGGGCGGCGTGGGCTGGCAAAACGGCGTGCTTACTCATCCCCAATCCTCACCTCGCCAGGGGTCGTGGGTTCAAACCCCGGCAAGTTTTTACAGGATTTTTTTTGTTTTTGTTGTTCTTTTGAGATATGGTCTCTTTGAAGCCTCTGTTGACCTGGAACTCTGATGTAGACAGCCTCTGCACTACAGCCGGGCATGGTGGCACACACCTTTAATCCTAGCACTTGGGAGGCAGAGGCTGGTGGTTCTCTGTGAGATCGAGGCCAGCTTGGTCTATATAGCAAGTTCAAGGCCACCAGCTGTGGCTATAAGAAGACCCTGTCTCAAAAAGACCAAAAAAAAAGAATATTGGCTGCTCTTACAGATGACCTGGGTCTGGGTTCAGGTCCCAGCACCCATATGGCAGCTAACAACCATCCTTAACTCCAGTTTCAGGGAATCTGATGCCCTCTTCTGGCCTCCATAAGTATTGCACTTATACACATAAAATAAAAATAAATGCATTTAATTTTTTTTTAAAAAAAACTAAGACCAGGCATGGGAGTGTACACCTTTTTTTTTTTTTTTTTTTGAGAAAGGGTCTCCTTGTAACCCCCTGACTGATGTCCTGGAACTCACTAGGTAGACTAGGCTGACCTTGAACTCACAGAGTTCCACCTGCCTCTGCCTCCCAAGAGCTGGGATTAAAGGAGTACACTACTGCACCTGGGCTGTAGCCATATTCTTAACCACTAGGCCATCTCTCTTGACCCTAGAACTCAAAGGTTTTTTGAGGGGGTGTTGTTTGTTTGTTTTTGGTCTTTTGAGACAGGGTCTCCCCGTAGCCCCAGCTGGCCTGGAACTCACTATGTAGACCAGGCTGGCCTTGAACTCACAGAGATCTTCCTTCCTCTGCCTCTCCAGTACTGGGATTAAAGGCATGTGTCACCATGCCCAGCATCCATTTTCATTTTGTAAAAATCCCGAAAATTCCATAAATTAGTACCAGTGGGATAGTTCATTAGGTCAAGACACTCACTGCCAAGACTGGCAACCTGGGTTTGATCCCCAAGACTCACATGGTGGAAGGAGAGAAACAGATGGACCCCAAAAGTTGTCCTCTGACCTACACACACACACAGACACACACACACACACACACACACACACACACACACGGTGGCATGTACATGGCCCCCCATAAAATAAATGTTATAAAAAAATTTAAGTCCATAATTTTTTTAATTTATTTTTATTTTATGTGTATAAATATTTTGCCTGCATGTATATAAGTGTACCCATGTCATGCCCATGGAGGCCAGAAGAGGGTATCAGATCCCCTGGAACTGGAGTTAAAAACAGTTGTTGACTGCCATGTGGATGCTGGACCCAATTTGGGTCCTCTGCAAGAGCAGCCAATGCTCTTAACTTCTAGCCATCTCTCTAGCCCTTAAGTCCATAAACTTTGAATTAAAGGTATCTAGACACCAAAGAGACAAAATGAAAGAGAACAACAAACATATAAACAAAGAAATGTAGACATAGTATTAAAGATATATGGAACACATGACACAAAAAGAAATCAATAGAGAATAAACAACAGAAGCGCAGACAGAGGGAAAAAAGAAAACATCATGGGGTTTCCCAGCTCTCCCATCCCCGCGTCCTTCCAACTCCAGGTTACTTACATTGAAAGATGCCAGGGCCTCAGAGACACTCTTCTCAATAAACTCATCTGTAATTCTTCGGGAAGGATGTTCATTAAACACAGAGTTCATCAATGCAATCTTCGCAGCACTTCTCCGGGCCTCAGCTTTTGTAGGGCAAAACTAGGCAAAGAAAGAGTGAGAGTATGTGTATATGTGCACCTGAGAAAGAAAGGAAGAGCGGGATACAAGGCATCGTAGGGAGAAGACATCAGTTGTGTTCAACAAAGTTTTTACTGTAAAATGGCTGGATTGTTTGGAAACATAATTTGGATTCAACATCCTGAAGTCATTAAAGAACTGTAAACAACTGTAGCTCATACCAAACTGAATGCAGCATAAGGAAGGCTGCTGAAGTCAGCATATAACCACTGGACATGAAAAATACCTCCATTTAAACTGTCAACAGAACTAATTACTCAAAGGCCAGAAGGTGGCCAATTTGTCAGAGAACTGTATCTTGTTCTCTTGTTCTATGGACAGGCAAGGTTGTTTGAATGCTGCTAGACAACCCAAGATTAGAACAAGACTGTGTCCAGGCTGTTCCTGCAGAAGTCTCTTTTCTGTTACAAGCAGCCATCACGGACTTCACTTTTAGCTGTGAACAGGCATTTTCCCAATAAAGTAGCAAGCCAAAGAAGCTATCTCACTAGGGTCTAAATATAAAAAAATCACACCCCCCCAGTGAGAAACACAAGAGGATAGCTAAAGGAAGGAAAATTAACCTGAGGAAAATTCATAAAAACAAAACAAAAAAACCCAACTCCCTGTTTTTAAGTTGTAACCAACATACAACTTAGTTAGGGCAAGTCTCATTTTCAGAAGTCTTAGATCATTCAAACTTCAGATCCCAAGCCCCCATAATATTCTATTATAATTAGTCTTTATTGGGTATTGCAAAGGCCTCTGTACCCTTTATCATTTATGATTAAGATTAGAGAAAAGGAAGTGATGTCACAGCTTTTAAAAGACCAGGATGTGTTTGTTACTTAACTATCCTCATTATGAATCATTCCTGATTTCCTTTAGTAGACAGTTTCCTCTGAGGCAGCATATGGAGCTTGCTACATAAATGCTGAGGCCTTGCTTCTTCAGCTTCTCTAATTTCACTTTATTACTAGCCTGTTAAACACTTTATTCCATAATGCTGTTTCTAAAAGAGGCAGCTGTGAAGAAAATCACCAGAAAAAAATTCACCTGAAAAAGTAAAATTATAAGCGAAAGCAGGCCAAGTCAGATCATTTCATTTGCAGAAAATAATCGATATCAAATCAATAATTCAGTTCAGTTGTGAGCCTCATTATAAAATTCAAACCACTGTTAACATTGTGATGAGGTGGGAAGTGGAACAGTGTTATTTTATAAAAAATGGGCTAATGACAGAATGGTAGCCAGCACCTTTAATCCTAGCATTCAGGAGGCAGAGGCAGGCCTTATGAGTTCAAGGCCAGCATGGTTTACATAGTGATTTCCATATATATAAAAATGAATTAATGAATTAATTTAAAAAAATAAATAAATGCTTAAGTGTTAATAAGAACTTCATTGCTTTGGCCATTAAATCTCTGCCTGAAGTCACAAATTTGAGGACTAATCAGTTCAGAGCATTCTGACAAGTATCTGAAACTCATGAGCTCACAGAAGAAACTCAACAGCACACTTTTCTTCAGCCTTCAAAGACTCAAACCCCTTTTGAATTTGAGCATTTATGTTTATGCTCTTTCTTAGTGTATCAGACTATCAACACACAGCCCTTGTTCTAATCTAGCTTCCATTAATGCATTCCAGCTTCCTGCCACAAAAAAAGTGCCTGTTACACAAACATAAGGACCAGAGTTGGGATTCCTAGAACTCATGTTAATACTAGGTGAATGTGGCAGCCCACTAGTAATTCCAGCCTTGGAAGTGGGAGATAGGAGATCCCCAGAGCAAGCTAGCTAGCAAGATTAGCCATATTGATCTTGGTGAGCTCTGGGTTTCATTGAGAGACTATACCTTAATGAATCAAGTAGAAAAGCAATTGAGATGAATCTTGATACCAACCTCAGGCCACCACAGGCAGATACACATACATGCATCTGCACCTACACACAGCACATGAACATACATGCACACACACAGACCAAGACAAAAACAGACACAATCTCTGGTATGTTTGGAGAGACAATCAATTACAATATGTAATAAAGAATGATATGGTTGGCGAAGGTCAAGGCGTTACAGAAACAGATAGCAAGGATTCTAACCTTGTCTAAAAGTTATATGATCATATGAAAACTGAACAAAGGTACTATCCTCTTTAAATTCCTATCTGAACTCTAAATTGACATTTTGGAAGACTGCCTTCCTGTCTCCAATATGTAAAAAACCAAATCTTGATAATACTCATACTAGTCTATAATAACTCCACACTACCCTATAACAGGTGTTATTCTTTTCATCATCATAAGTCTTTCATATAATTGTAGAATGTTCACAGCAGGAAAGTAACCTGGGTGCTAAGGATATAGCTCAGTTGGCTGAGTGCTTGCCAGGCATGCAGGAGGCCCTGGGATCAATCCACAACATTCTGTAAACAGACATGGGAGTGCACACCTATAGTCTCAGATTCTCTCTGCACTTGGGAGGTAGAGACAGGAGCATCAAATGCTCAACTTCATCCTCACCATAGTGAGTTGAGGTCAGCCTGGGCTACATGAAACCCTGACTTTAAAAAAAGAAAGGATATAACCTATATTCTTCACATTGCAGATGGGGAAACTGAAGCCAGATGAAGTTACCTGATTTGTCCCACTGGCAGTCAGGAGTAAAAGAATTTGAATCAACTAACTCTACACTGTTCCCAACACACACAGTCTGCCCTCTTTAATGTCTTAGAAAACATGAACACTGCTTTCTTTAGCAATTTGCCTATGAATAAGAACTGGGGTAGGGAAGAAATATTCTAGATCCTGGGGAAGAAATGGCACGAAGTTGGAATGCATTGATGGAAGTCAGATTAGAGCAAGGGCTGTATGCTGATAGTCTGATACACTAAGAAAGGGCATTAGCATGACTCAAAATCAAATGGGCTTGAGTTTTTGCAGGCTGAAGAAACATGTGCTAATGAGGTTCTTCTGTGATCTCATGAATTTCAGATGCTTGCCAGAATGCTCTGCCAAGAAATGACTAGTCCTCAAATTTGTGACATCAGGCAGAGATTTAATAGCCAAAGCAATAAGTTCTTATTAGCACTTAAGCATTTATATGTTTAAAATTAATTGATTAATTTTTATTTTATGTGTATGAGTGTTCTGCCTGTGGGTATTTAAGTGTACCCATGTCATGCAATGCTCTTGGAGGACAGAAGAGGGCATCGGATCTCCTGGAACTGGAGTTACTGACATTTGGCCTCCATGTGGGTGCTGGGAACTTAACCCAAGTCCTTGGCAAGAACAGTCAATGCTTTTAACCACTAAGCTGTCTTTCCAGCCCCTTAAGCATTTATCTTTACTCCTGCTGCCTTAGAACTCTTACCTGGAAACTTCCAAAGCAACTACCCCCAGGCAGAGTGACATAACAGACATAAGGAGGGCTGTTGGAAGGAACCATCTCATATACCACCAGAGCTCCATTCTTCAGGTCAGCTCCACGGGACTGCTTCATCTGCCAGAACTCCTGCAGTGCCTCCACCACATTCACTGCAAAGCAAGGAGAGGGACTTAAGTTCAACAGAGAGGACACCTCCAAGTTGTGCTGTATTTCAGTTCTATACTCAGTCCCTCAGCTCCCTATCACCATTTAAAAACATTTAAATTAGTAAACCTGACTGGGATTAACCAGCATCCCAGAGTGGGCCTCCCAGGCCCCCTCCCAAGCCCCCCCAGTTCCCAGCATGGGAACCGTGGGTCACATGAATGAATGAAGGAAGGAACAGTGAAAGATGGGCAACAGTAAAAGTTTCTGGACATGCTACAACCAAAAATTTAACTCCAAATCAAATGCTAAATGAATCCAAGGTGTTTTGGACAGTGCTGCATCATGCAACTGCACTGCAGCCTTGGTTCTGACCATATTTGTCACTGCGAACATGGCCATGCCCCAGTGCCACAAACACCTCAGCTCAGATCTAAGACCACTGCATGTTATGAACTACAGTGATTTTGCTGTAATAGTAAGTTTTCTGCTCTTATAGAAACACAATGGTTTAGTTATGGAAAACAAAGACTTTTAATATCTTCCTATCATCATTCCTCAGCATGTGTCAAATGTGTGTCTTGGGATTGTATTGTGTTACAATGTTTGGTTTTAAAGGTTGCTGTTTGAGTTACTGACCTGACTGAGTTTCATTTTAAAACTGGATAAATAGGGCCAGGCATGGTGGCGCACACCTTTAATCCCAGCACTTGGGAGGCAGAGGCAGGCAGATCTCTGTGAGTTTAAATTCAGCCTGGTCTACATAGTGAGTTCCAGGACAGCTGGGGCTACAAGGAGACCCTGTCTCAAAAAAAGACAATAAATAAATAAATAAATAGGGGCTGCCAAGATGATTCAGCGGGTGAAATGCTTCCCAATCAAGTCTGGCAACCTGAGTTAGATCCCTGGAATGCATGTAGAGGTGGAAGGAGAGAACAGACTCTACAAAGTTGTTCTCCGACTTCCACATAAGTGCCATGGCATGTGCCCACCTCATTCATAAATAAATAAATAAATAAATTTTTTGGTGTGGGATTAGAGCAGGGTTTTCAACTGCTTCTGAAACGGCCCTAAACTTACTTTTACCATTTTGTTCTAAGCACCAATATAAAGGCAGCATTTTCAGCAATGATGATTACAGAATCAAAATATCAACCCACTCTGCAAAATGTTTAAGACCCTCCATGTCCTGCAGTATCAAATACCCAGCCAAGATTTAATTTGTTATGTAAAAGAAACAAGTGCATCATCTCATTAGTATGCAAATTTGCTTTCATCCTTAATAAATGGTAAAACTATAAGTACAGTAAAGATCTGTTTCATATTTTATCTGTGTGCTAGTGTATGTGTGTAGTTGTGTGTGTGCATGTGAGTGTGAGTGCACATTTATAGAGGTCAGAGGTCAACCTCAGGTGTTAGTCCTTGTCTTCTACCTTGTTTAAAGCAGGGTCTCTTGTTCATCACTGCATATGCTGCTAGCTGGCCCTGAAGCTTCTGGGTATTCTCCTGTCTCCATCTCCCATCTTGCCACAGGGACTGGGATTACAGATATGTGCTACTGCATGTATCTGGCTGTCTCTGGAGTCCTGAGATCTGAACTCCAACCCTCATGCTTGTGTGCAAGTATTTTACCTACTAAGTCATTTCCTGAGCCCTAAAGAATTGTTTAAAAGGGGCTGTTTTAAATGGACTGGAGAGATGGCTCAGCAGTTAAGACCATTTACTGCTCTTCCAGAGGACCTGCGGTTGGTTCCCAACAACCACATGGTGCTAACAACCATTCATAAATCCAGTTACAGGGAATCCAACTCCCTCTTCTGACCTCCACAGGCACTGTGTGCACATGATGCACTTATATACATGCAGGCAAAACACTCATACACATAAAATAAAAATAAATAAATCAAAAAATTAAAAAGAATTGGTTTAATATAAACTTCTTTATGATTTATCATCAGTAAATGTTTTAATTTGTAAACCTATTTTAAATACCTATATGCTCAGGGTTAGATAAAAATTTCTTGGGCAAAAAGGGGTGTGGCTAAAGGAAAAAGTTTAAGAAGCCTTACTCTATTTCACTTTAACTAGTCTTAGACACCAAAGGAACATAACTTAAATATCAGAGGCAGAGTCTCCAAGGTTAACAAACAATAAAGTACAAGTAGATTATTTTACAACTGGTCAGCTGATGTAGGACAGTAACAACCATCACAACAGTAAGCAGTTACCACCACATTCACTGAGCACCTTCTGCATGTCAGGCCTTTCCTTAAAGTGCTTTACCTGTAACAACCTTATGAAGAAAATACCTTTTCATCCCCATTTTACAGATGAGGTAAATAAGGCATAGAGGGTTAAATAAACAGTCCAAGGTTATGAAAACTAGGTTACAGAGTAAGAACTAACTCAGCTGGGTGTGGTGGCACACATCTGTAATCCCAGCCCTTGGGAAGCCAAGGCAGAAGGATTAGGAGTTTAAGACTGTTGGGGGACCCTCCTGCTAAGGTTGTAGTCCACCATGTCCAGATAGCTCTAAGGAGCTTGGCACTGTATGGAGGACTCCCTTTCTCAGCGGGGGCTTCCGGCTCTCTGCCTGACCTTATCTGGAAAGTGCCTCCAAGCACAGATGCCTGGCCTTATTTGGAACATGACCTTGGCATAGTTACCTACAATAAACTGACCCCAGGTTTTTTCTATATGATAATTGTGCATTGCCCTATAGCCGGATGATAGGATCCTCCTACCACATGTAAATAAAGCATACTATGAACACCTATCGCCCTTTCTCACTTCCGGCTCTCTGCCTGACCTTATCTGGAAAGTGCCTCCAAGCACAGATGCCTGGCCTTATTTGGAACATGACCTTGGCATAGTTACCTACAATAAACTGACCCCAGGTTTTTTCTATATTCTATAT